GTATTATATCTGAATAGATGATCGAGAATCCACACTGATGCTATACATTAGAATAGGTAATGAAGAATTCATTTCAATGTACAATATATTAATGAGTTATTGTAAAATTGTGCCAAATTTTATTTTCTAGCTTTAACTTTTACTGTAATGTACTCAAAAACAATTTAAAAGATATGTGTACCAATTATCGTTATTCCATAAACTTAACGCAGATTGTTTTTATTTGCTATATTTGGAGTTATGATAAATGAATCTGAATTCAGCATTGAAATATTCAGTAGCTTTAAAAGCTTTAGGGACCTTCAGGTCCAGCATGGGCTAGGCATGTTTCATCTTTCATGAATCATTGTAGATATTTACATGTTCATCTTTGCCCATGTAGATTCCAGTACTTAAGTTACAAAAGAAAGTACTTGTTTATGGTCAAATTATTTTTTATCTTCTGAACCCAATGCATTTTGTAATTTTTTTTTTAAAGAGAAATTGGACGTGTATGTGATATATGAAGTGTAAAATATCTGCAGACATATAATACATGTGTTATGTATACTAATTTGAGGAGAAAAATATTTCAATACTTCAATATTTGTAATGAAAGTTAGTTGTGATTGCGTATGAAAAATTAATTGCATAGATGATTTATAGCTTAAACCATATCATTTATGTAACTAACATGATGAATTGAACGACAAACACTCTGTCAGCAACAAACTACAGCCTGTAAGTGTAAAGGAGGATTTTTATTACCCCCTCTGTTAATCAGTTTGTTTTATTGTAAAGAAATTATTGTGTGATAATTGAAACTATGAGGAATGCTTCATTTTTCTTTATGTTACTCATTGCAGCAAACATTTCTTCATACTTTTATCCAAAATCATTTCTTATCATTAAATGTTGATATATATATATGTTGAGCATGTGTTTTCAAATAAATATCATTAACTTACCACCAATATTACATACAAGAGATCATGTTGATGTGGATCAGTCATCTACTATGCTCGGGATAGTAGTTAGTGCTGATATAAACACACAATTGAAAATATTGACACCCATTAGACATTATATCATATTGAAACTTAAGCTCAATTTATAACATGTTCAGCTTGAGATATTTGTTACACTGAAACTTGTCCAAAACCTGCTGAATACAAGCTAGCGGTCAGATTTAATGGAAAGTTAGTGAATGGTATGGAGTATGGTAGACTTCATGAAAAAAAGATTACTGTTTATACTGACTGACAGCTGGGTTATTTGAAAACTTAGACAGGTTTCTTTGTATTTTGACTTCAAAAAAATGACAATTTAACACTTGCACATTAGCCATATTTGTTTATAATGTCTTATGATAACTGCTATTTTCTCATTATTTTGATGTGTTTGAGAATTTTGTTTGAAATAATCTCCTCCAATAGTGTATTCAGTTTATAATGCATCGGCTATATAATACATAGTACATGTACATTGTACATAGTTGTATGTGAACATAATATTTACTGCACTTAACTTGTACACAACTTCATATTGAGCTAACATTTCACCTGGTCATCTCTAGCTACAATACTGGTTACAGTGAATTCCTAATGAGGACTAGTTACAATGAATTCCTAATGAGGACTAGTTACAATGAATTCCTAATGAGGACTAGTTACAATGAATTCCTAATAAGCATTAATACAGTGTATTCATAGTGGGTGCTATTTACAGTATATTCCTGGTGGGCACTTAATACGGTGATTTGCTAGTGAGAACTAGTTACAGTGTATTCCTAGTGAGGCCAAGGTAGTGTGTATACCTAGTGAGGCCAAGGTAGTGTGTATACCTAGTGAGGCCAAGGTAGTGTGTATACCTAGTGAGGACTAGTTACAGTGTATACCTAGTGAGGACTAGTTAGTGTATTCCTAGTGAGGCCAAGGTAGTGTGTATACCTAATGAGGACTAGTTACAGTGTATACCTAGTGAGGACTAGTTACAGTGTATTCCTAGTGAGGTCAATGTAGTGTGTATTCCTAGTAAGGACTAGTGTATTCATATTGAGCATTAGTTACAGTGTATCCATAGTGAACACTAGTTACGGCTTTATCTAGCTAAATTTAGTTAAAATGTTGCTGGTCAACATGAGTTACACTGTATTTGACTAAATATAGATACACTGTATCTAGTTCACTCTCACATGACACTGTTAATGTCTAGCACTAGTTACTTTGTATCTTTTTCAAATTTAAGTTATAATGTTACTTTTTAACTTCAGATATGTATCAATTTGTAATTGAAAAATATCTGTGGAACTATTTACAATCATTGTTTTCTAGCTTACACAGGACAATAAATCATTGTATTCATATACAGCATAGTTTCATGTAATTAGTCACCACAAGGACATTGTAATTATTCAAGAGAACAATGTAACCGTTTCCCACGATTATACTGTGGATATGATAGACACTATAACTACAACAGTGTCACTAGACAACACTAGGACAATGTGAACAGTATCATTTACCACCGCATGTATCTGTATTGGGCTTTCATGTCACCCACTTGTACTTTGTTCTAAACAATAAATGCAAACCTGATATACATTAATGTTATTTTGTTGTTTTTTATATATATATATATATATATATCTTGTACTTTTTCAGTCATTACTTTACAGTTTAATGATTGTATGCCTGAATTGGATTTATATAGCACTTCACATTTTGTAAAAATAGGATTTTTGTTAATAACTAAAGATTATGATTTTTACACATATGTAAATGTTGGAAAGAAGTTGATGGTTCTTCAGCAGTTGTTTCCCAAGAATGTCAATATAGCAACGGCAGCTCAAGTAGATTTAATAGATCAATTACATCTTAGCTCACCCAGTCAAAGTGATTGCTATTTCTCAAAATTTACACGAGAATCTCTCGGATACATTCCTTGGTTTCTAGTTGTCATGCACTACAATATTTTCTGATCAGAAGAATAAAGAAGGTGGTTAGTAGCCATCTTTGAAAATTGATATAATGATTTGTTTGTATGGATAGATTTTTCTCATGTGATGGTTTCCTCGTTCCCTAGGTTACATATATATATTTCTCATGTGGCTGATGGAAGATAGGAGAAGCTACTTTCATGCCCTGGTCCCCTGCTTATTCTGTCAGTTTGCATCACCATAGTTCACTTACACTGATCAAACTCAACTGCTTATTAGATATTGCTTTTAGAGTTACAAGGTCAAAGGTGGCTGGACGGTGCAGTGGCAATGTAATGGATTTGTCCTCTATCTAGTCCTCTGATCTGGGTTTCTATTCCCCGAACAGATGTGAGAAGGTAATTGGTTTTACCCTGGTCCTCTGGTTCCTCCCACAGTAAGATGTGCACTTAGATCCGCGCCAACAAGAGTGAAGTTGGAGTAATTTGTTTCTCAACTGTTGTAAAATGAATAAGTAAATATTCTATGCATATTCATATGTTTTTATGTTTATATAGGTAATAAGTCAAGGTCACTAGCTTTAAACTAAAATTGTTTCCACCACATGACTTGAGAAGTAATCTTAACCTTTTACACATGGTACTTCTGTACAGCCACTGATTTCCTTCAAGTGTGGAAGGTCAAAGGTAAAGTTCCGTCTTTGTAAATATATTTTTTTCTGCTGAAAAAACAATATATACAATGTAACTAGAGTGTATAACTATAATGAACATCACTTACTGCTTTCTTAAGTGACTGTCGATTTGGGTCAATGTCATTGTTACTATAAATACATTTATTTTGACTGCAGTCTTATCAATCTAAACTAGTTTACATATAAACCACAGAACATTCCCTGGACAATCAACTGGTCAGGAAGAGGTTAGCTAGTATCGTTCAGTGATGTTTTGTTACATTTTGAGACGAATGGAATGAACTAACCAGGCATTATTGATCCTGGCTAGAATATACATACATAATGTTCAAGAGCACCCTTGGACTTCTTGATCAATACTTTCAATTTAAATTACATGGTTGAAATATTGATTAAATACATCTAAATCATTATCTCATTGTCTAATTGACAATTAATTAATAAAACAATACTAATCAACTATAGAAATGAAAGTCTATTGCGCTCTAGGAAGCGAGGTAGCCCCAGACAATGCGTTTGTTTCCATGTAAGAGATATTAGTATATTAATACTGGTTGAGGGGGGATTTCTGGCTTCGTTGATGTCCATTCTGGTGTGCCCCAGGGATCGATCCTTGGACCAAGTTTATTTCTTTATTTCATCAATGATATCCCTGTGGACCTAAATGCTACCATCTGTTTGCAGACGGCACCATTGCATATCTAGTTGTCAAGTCAAGCAGTGATGCTGTAAGTTTACAGCAAGACTTGGACAAACTGGCACTCTGGGAAAATACATAGGAAATAGCTTTCCACTCAAGTAAATGCTAAGTGTTGTTTATAAACAGGGGGACGAAAAACCCAGTTCTCCAAAATTACACACTTCATGGGCATACACTGAAACATGTAGACCAAGCAAATTACCTGGGTGTTACAATTCAGTCCAACCTAACATGCATTACAGCATTACCAACAAAGCAAACTCTACACTTGGCTTCCTCCGTCGTAATCTAAAAATAAATTCAACACCAGTTAAGGCACAGGCATACAAATCTTTAGTTCGTCTATCCCTAGAGTATGCATGTCCTGTTTGGGACCCATACACCCAAGATAACATCAACAAGATAGAAATGGTACAACGCAGATCTGCACGTTATGCGCTAAATAAAAACATATATTCTCATTGACCATCAAGCGTCTCTGATATGATAAACCACCTTAAATGGCGCCCCTAGCCGATAGACGTAGAGAAATAAGCCTGTGCATAATGACATTATCTTCAACTTGTTGAAATCGGTCATTATCATTTAGAAACTAGAACTACTACATTCCGGTTAGACGATTTACAGGATCGGGCAGGATCGGGCAAAATCTGGACCGGTATATGTGTGTACTTCCGGTATCCATTATTGGCACACATGGATCTGCTTTCGTAACACTTGAAGAGGTTACATCAGTTTATCAACGAGTCACAGTTTGTTCAAATTATCAAAGATGCTTCGAATACCACGGAACGGCCTGGTAAATGTTTTTGGATAGGATAGTTGCTGTAACATCTCCGATAAGTTGTCTACAAAACTCGTGAAATACATTTTTCTAGTTGTTAGGCCGTCATAATCCTCGCTTGATACTCGTTCCTTCGTTACGTTTATGTACATGCACCCTTATAAGTTCAACGGCATATTGCAGAACTTTGAACGCAGTCATCACATCAAAAGTTTTGTATGATGTAATCTGCTGATCTGGTAATGCATACAACCCCGGATACAGACATATGGCAAATAGTCTTGCATGGGGGATACTTACAGTACTGCTTGCAGTAAACAATGGATAATGAAATGCAGGGGTCATTTTGAAATAAAAATACAATAAATTCTTTTAAAAAATTGCATCAAACAAGGGCTTGATATTTTTGGTATGGCTAATAACCATTGCTACAGAGTAAATTTTCACACAAAAATCAAATTTTCATTAGAAGTCTCACTTTTTGCGAAAATAATAACAATGAAAAAAATTATCACCTTCATTGGTTATCGTGTACTTAAAAATAAACAAGGAAATTCATATTCATCTACATGTATGACATTTACACTAAATGCTACTAGTAGTTGGACAACAAAGTTCGTGATATAAATGTTGTTTTGCCAAAAAGTTTGATAACAGAAATTAATATTTCTTGTGCAAATCTGTAGTGAAGGTGTGATTTGTGCATTCTGATTGAGTCCACACTGATATTATAAGTTTCCTATCATTTGATTTACTGTATGATCTGAAGGAACCTTCTCCCTTGAGACTTTATAACAAAGAATTGTATTTTTAAGTGAAACCCATTTGAAGTGATAACGTCAAGGTAAAGGAAACAGCCAGTAACATTTGAATATAGTTGAAAGTCAAATTACAAATGTAATGAATTATTTAGCTTTGACATGTATCTTTACATTTATTCTCAAAGAATGAATTTCAAACATATTCTTTTTTAAGGTACGACTTGTATCTCGAGATATATACCACCAACAGAAGAGATTTCAAGGAGCCAGACCTAATTTTGGAGTGATATTTGTTCCCCAACAAGAGGCATGGATTGTAGAACGTTTTGGAAAATTTTTCAAAACTATGAATCCGGTAGGTAAAACAATCAATAAATAGATTGTATTACATGGATATGAGATTTAGCATGTCTAATGTTTAGTGTCCAAATTTTCATTCAAAATAAACACATTAGTAAAAGTTATAAATACATGTTCCACAGAAAGCAATTTTAACTTGTTGACTTGTTTCTTCATAAGAGAATGGTTGATTTTAGAGTCTTGGGTAAAAAATGTCATTTGGTACACACAATATTATTGATCGTCAACATGATTGAAATTATGGATGATCATTAAATTTGTCTTACCTGTTCTCCTTAATGAAGGAACTAACCCTAATAATTTTCAGGGACAGGGGTCAAAGGTCAATGCCACTTAAATCATATATATGTACATGTAAAATAATAGTTACCTTGTATTACCATGACCCAGTGTCATGGAAGATAATCTGTCTTTGCATTTGTATGCATGTTGTTTTCAGGGTCAGAGATCATAGGTCAAAGTCTTTGTATAGGTCATATAGCAAAACAGATTCAAGATTAAATGCATATTGCCAAGGAATATTGTGCTTTAGGTTCGTTTGTATAATTATGTTACACATTATAAAGTTGTTTTGTACTTTTGTCTATCTTCATTGTAAATTATTATAATAAACACTGCAGTGAAAAGAAGTGACTTTAAATAATTGTAGTAATTTTAACCTAGAATTGTAGTTTGAACCTATAATTCAGATGTGATAACTTTGTCAGCTTAAGTATAATACACTATTTTTATTTTCAGGGACTGAATTTACTAATTCCTATCATAGACACAATCAAACATGTTCAAATTCTCAAGGAAATGCCCATAGAAGTTCCAAAACAGTCTGCAATTACTGCAGGTATGTAAAGTGTTTCAAATGACACATTAAAATGACCTACTTTATACAAAAATTTTACCTGGTGCTTACATTCTTGTAGGAAGGTTGGCTAATATTTTTTTTCAAATGAACACACTTTCCAATTCAGAAAGATCAAAATTATTCCAAAATCATGATGCTTTTAGACTGAGTAAATATATTTAATATTAAGTTTGCTGAGTATATTCAGAGTGTCCAAATGACCTGGCACAAGAATAAAAAATGTTTTAGAAAACTAGGAAAACCAGGTGATTGTTATTTCAGTTTAAACCAGAAAAAATGAATTTGATTGCTTATGAATTTGGAATTGAATTTTTTACATCACTTGAGAAGAAATAAAATTTACTTGAAAATTACTGTGACTGATCATATTTTCCAGATAATGTTGTATTAAGTTTGGATGGTGTATTGTATGTCAGAGTGATGGACCCTTATAAGGTAAACTAAAACACATTTTATGTTTATTATTTTAAAAATGTTATCTGTGTATGTCAGAATGTCACAGCAGGTCTAGCTTGGTGAAGGTGTTCAAAAGTTTAAATGTATCTTCATGAAATTTTCCAGATTGTAAATGTATATATTATTTTATTACATTGTAATTTTATTTTTGCACTTTTTGCACCGAAAGTATTGCACTGAAATGTTATTGTGCTAATTGCAAGTTCTGAATGTTATTTACATAGCAATCCTTGTGGATGTGCTGATTCATCATTGTGCTAATTGCAAGTTCTGAATGTTATTTACATAGCAATCCTTGTGGATGTGCTGATTCATCATTGTGCTAATTGCAAGTTCTGAATGTTATTTACATAGCAATCCTTGTGGATGTGCTGATTCATCTTTGTGCTAATTGCAAGTTCTGAATGTTATTTACATAGCAATCCTTGTGGATGTGCTGATTCATCATCGTGCTAATTTACCACAAGGTGATAATACACTAAAATTTTACTGTACCAAATTAAGTACCTCACCGATGACTGTGTTTTCATTAGAAAACCTTGGTTCTGTGGAAAAGCCAACTGCAGTGTATGATGAAGTTGTGCAATGCAAACTGCTTAATATCACGTCCCATTTGTCAGTACTGAAAACTGAAACATGATATTAACAGTTTGTCAGTGTATCTGAAGTACACAATTGAATGTGTCTATCTGACTTTATTCTTACAGAAATTGTTTCATGAAATCATTTCATTATTCAACTTCTTTTTCACGTAGTACATGTAATAGTTAAATTTTCATCTTTTATTGATTTGTTTATTTCAAATAACACAACTTTTTATCAGAAAGGTGACATTAAATGTCATTACGTAAACTGGTTTAACAGTTCCTTTCGAAAAGCTAGAAACATTAAAGTTTGTTGTATGTATATTTCAGGCAAGTTATGGTGTGGAAGATGTAGAATTTGCTGTCACACAATTGGCACAGACCACTATGAGATCAGAAATTGGTAAAATTTCCTTGGATCAGATTTTCAGAGAAAGAGAATCACTGAATGTGGCAATTGTCGGTAAGTTATTATCAGTAATCTCAGCAGAAATCATTGATGTATTTAGACTATACCACTATAGCATGTATCGCCACTTATCTAGCACGGTAGTTACTTCTGTTCAAAACTTTATGAAACTTACATGATCCATTTGTGTTTGCTAACTCGTGGAAACTTATTTACATTTTGAGAGTCATTCAGCTGACAATACTTTGATCTCATACTTTAAAACCTATTATGTCAGGTTCAGTTACTATGATTTACCCTGTATTTGTGAATCTAAGGTTTATCACTTCCATATTTCTCAGAGTTACAAGGTAAGCTTATTACAGGACAATGTATTGAACTTTACCCAAGAGTCAACTTTTACTACTGATGATCATGTATTTCAGCTGCAATAAACAAAGCTGCAGAGGACTGGGGTATCAGATGTCTACGTTATGAAATCAGTAAGTAAAACTAAAATCGTCAACATTACATTGGATTTCTTAATATTCCGGAGCTGGATAATTGAACTGATTTAAAGCCCTCTACCACAGTGTTGTAATTAGTTTAATTTTGATATGACAAGTAATGAAAAATGATGTGTATTAGCTCACCTGGCCTGAAGAAATTTGAAAGTTTGATTCATAAAAATTTTACTGTATTTGGCTGGTTGGTCTGTGGGATGAAGCCCGACAAAGCTTGCAGGAAAAAGAAAATGATGTTGAACCATATAAAAGGGGTCACATGGGTCATATTCGTTTAAACCTGTAAACATCTTCTGGTAAACTAAAAGTCCAAGGGGCAGAAATATCTAATAGAAAGGTGTTTCTAAGGCAAAGCCTGACAAATTTTGGAAAAAAAATAGAAAAGAAAAATTAAATGACATTTACATAACTGGCTGTAGTTAGAGCTGAGTGTTAGAAGCTTAAGTTTGTTGTTGAATTTGGTTAAGATTGATTGGGTGTGTCTACTTTAAATGGTAATGGTGTATGTGTTAATTTGAAGAACATTGAATACAAGGTGAGCAATGCAGGCCTATTTGGCTTCTGTTAATATAACTCTTCCTTCATGATATGATAGACAATGCTAACAAAATGATTTTTGTATATAGGAGATATTAAGCCACCTACTAAGATCCAGGAAGCTATGCAGATGATGGTGGAAGCAGAGAGAAAAAAGCGAGCAGCTATTTTAGAGTCAGAAGGTAAGATAAACAGTCTCAGCATTCAGCCAACACTGTTTAGTTCACTTGATTGACATAGGTAAATACTTCATAGGAATAAATTAAACCAAATTTAAAGATGACTGTAACTTCATATCAAGTGTAGTGATACCAGTGATGTTATATTTGGGTTGCAGCTTACATAGAAAATAGACAACTTAATTTGTGGAAAAGATGACCTTGGTTAACAATGAAACATTGCAGCTGTATGATATGCTAACATTATTTGATGAAAAGTTGTGTATACAAGTCAAGCAAACTTCTTGTTTTCTTACTTACGATCACTTAAATAAGTACCCCTAACTTACGATCACTTAAATAAGTACCCCTAACTTACGATCACTTAAATAAGCACCCCTAACTTACGATCACTTAAATAAGTACCCCTAACTTACGATCACTTAAATAAGTACCCCTAACTTACGATCACTTAAATAAGTACCCCTAACTTACGATCACTTAAATAAGTACCCCTAACTTACGATCACTTAAATAAGTACCCCTAACTTACGATCACTTAAATACGTACCCCTAACTTTAAATGTCATTGATTGATTTGTAGGTGTGAAGCAGTCAGAAATAAACATAGCAGAGGGTAAAAAACAGGCAACAATATTAACCTCAGAAGCCTTCAAAATAGAACAAATCAACACTGCTGAAGGTAGGTGTAGAAATCAACACTGCTGAAGGTAGGTGTAGAAATCAACACTGCTGAAGGTAGGTATAGAAATCAGCACTGCTGAAGGTAGGTGTAGAAATCAACACTGCTGATGGTAGGTATAAAAATTAACGCTGCTGAAGGTAGGTGTAGAAATTAACACTGCTGAAGGAAGGTATAGAAATCATTACTGCTGAAGGTAGGTATAGAAATCAACACTGCTGATGGTATGCATAGAAATTAACACTGCTGAAGGTAGGTATAAAAATTAACACTGCTGAAGGTAGGTATAAAAATTAACACTGCTGAAGGTAGGAATTACAAAAAAATGAATGTTAGTGGTTGTAGGTTTAAATTGAGAGAATGGCCAGAGTATGTACAAAAAACAGCATTCCTTTAAGGATAAAATGTGATATTTTTTTTAATGTTACTGTGCAAATACAATCTGGTGACCATTAATGGATAAGATATACATATATCACACTACTACGACTACTACATTGTTCAGTGACAATGAAATCTGGAATATTAATTGATTTAATATTTCATACACATTAAATCCATGTGATTCATTTTTCACTCTCTTTTTAATGCACTCTTCATACCAGGAAATCATGTAGTCTTACCAATGGCTGTTATGTCGTGCTGTGTGTTCCATTAGAAATCAGTCTCATATTTTGAGATGAGCACTGCTGAACAGATATGATTCAAACTGACCCCATAGCATCATAACATCAAACTCTATACCTGATCAGATTCTGGTTTGTAGAAGGTGTGTCCTGCCTTCAATACGTTTTCAACTTTCTATTGTTTAGATTTGTTTCATATTGTTGGTTTTAAGATTCATTCTATTTTTGCCTTTTCTGTTTACAGGTGAGGCTGAGGCATTGAAAGCTAAAGCTAACGCTAAGGCTGAGGCTATACGAATGGTGTCCACAGCCATCAGTCAACAGGTGAGACAATGTCAGAAACATTATTCCAAATCCTTATTGTCATGTGTCTCCTGTAAATAATAAAATTTAAAGTTTTCTTAATTCAACCAAGCCAAGAGATTTTAAATGTCTTCAATTTGTTCAAGTGTTCTTAAAAATCTGCATCAGGAAAAAGCACATGGACAAACAATCCTTTCATATTTGCAAATAATGGAATATATATGGTTCACTCTCTGCCTGTTTGATTCATTTAACTTGATAGGTTTTGTCCATTTGAGATAACAATGTTCGACTATATTCATGACACTGGATTGTTTTTATCAAAGATCATCAATTGTTGAATATGTTGGAATTAGTTGAGCGAAAGTAAGTTGCGTCCATATTGTTGTGTAATTAAAATTTAATATATCTTAATAAGATTTGGTATGGAGATATTTCAGGTATTGTAATATGCATATATTAAATGTTGATCCTGTTAGAACAAAAGATGAAATGAAGTTGTAAAATGTTTGTTATTGAAGGACTTGTTTTCTATGTAGAATGGTAAAAATGCAGTATCCTACAACGTAGCAGAACAATACGTGGCTGCCTTCAGTAATCTGGCCAAAACCGGCAACACTGTCATCCTTCCTGCTAATACCGGGGATGTCTCTAGCATGGTAGCCCAGGTAGGTAACAAGACAATGGATAAATGATAAATGTTTCAGTGTCATTTATGTGCCTCCACCCCATCCAAAATAATCCAGAAAAAGTATCAAGTGCTGTATATTATGAATCATACATCTTGTTCTTCTGAAATGTTTTCATCACAATAGTTGCAGTGTTATTCAGGGAATGTACTCATGCAATGTCTTAGCATATGAACTTATAATTTATGACCTTTTTGTTTATAGATAGTGAAAATGAAACGATATTGTATAAATGCAAATTAATTCACATAGTGTGTATTTACATTTTGTGTGATGGCTCTCTATGAACTCCTGGTTCACCTGAGTTGAATTAGCTGTATTATAAATAAATTCTATATCACAAGACAATAATAGGGTCATGATGTTCTTTTCGGAATCATATTGACCTAATTTACGTGAAATGTTGAATATCACCTCAGATTTAACAGCTTTATGTAAATTATTCAGATGATGATGATTTTCAGGAAGCTCTTACAGTAACTAAACATACAGGGAAAAAGTTTTATTATTTAATGACTAGACATGTTAAAACCTTTATCTCATTCCTTTTTCAGGCCATGTCTATCTACCAGAACTTGTCTACTGAAAGTCAAAGTGCACCAGAGCAGTCTACTGAAAATCAAAGCGCACCAGAGCTGCCGAAACTTGATTCTGTTGAGCCTGAAGTACATACAGATATGTCTGACCATGACATTCATGATGATAGCAAATGATGGATCAGGATATGTTAAGGATAATAGTTACTAAGGAGATTTGATTGGCCCATATGATTGGGGTATCTGTTACTATGGTGAGGGCCATCTTCAGGATAATGTTGTCTTATTCAGGATAATTCCTTTGTTTTCAGTGTGGAAAGATTGTTTAATTTAAAAATTTTTTAATCTGGAGATCACTGAAAATGAAAAATCTTGAAAAGAAACTACATTTAATGAGTTCCTGCATGCTATGATACTGACTAGTAGAAGCATGACATGTTACTTAATGTTCAAGGTTAATGAAAGAGTGTCTGGTGTAACAGAGGGTAAAAACATTTGGAAAATCTGTGTTTTTCTGTAGTGTTTGTAACAGCTGCCACTGCTTTCACAGTACTATGAGAATGGCATCATGCCACATCTGTAACCTTGAGAATCAACATTACAAAATTTACACTGGAAGTGTTGTGTACTGAAATCTGTGACAGTCAGCATTGTGATATTTCAAATAAATTATATTGCACAACCAATTATGGACTTTGTTGTTCTGATCTAAGGCAAGGGACAGGGTCAAATAGCAGTGAAGGAAAAATGCCTGACTACATTTGTAACCTTTAGAATCCAGCATTGTGATATCTAAAATAAATTAAATCGCACAACCAAACCTGGACTTTGTTTTTCTGATCTAAGGCACAAAACGAAAAGTGTCAGTAACCAGTGAAGGCCAAATGCCTGACAGATAATTGAATGTGTGACATATCCAGTTGGATTTCTGCTTATTAGCTGATGTGAGCAAGTTACATCAGCAGGGACAAGTTGCTGTGAGCTGATGTGAGTGACATCAGTGGGGACAAAATCCTGTGAGCTGATGTGAATGACATCAGTAGGGACAAAATCCTGTGAGCTGATGTGAGTGACATCAGTGGGGACAAGTTCCTGTGAGCTGATGTGAGTGACATCAGTCGAGACAAAATCCTGTGAGCTGATGTGAGTGACATCGGTGGGGACAAAATCCTGTGAGCTGATGTGAGTGACATCAGTGGGGACAAGTTCCTGTGAGCTGATGTGAGTGACATCAGTGGCGACAAAATCCTGTGAGCTGATGTGAATGACATCAGTGGCGACAAAATCCTGTGAGCTGATGTGAGTGACATCAGTGGGGACAAATCCTGTGAGCTGATGTGAGTGACATCAGTGGGGACAAATCCTGTGAGCTGATGTGAGTGACATCAGTGGGGACAAAATCCTGTGAGCTGATGTGAGTGACATCAGTGGGGACAAGTTCCTGTGAGCTGATGTGAGTGACATCAGTGGGGACAACATCCTGTGAGCTGATGTGAGTGACATCAGTGGGGACAAAATCCTGTGAGCTGATGTAAGTGACATCAGTGGGGACAAAATCCTGTGAGCTGGTTTGTATTTGTGACATTAATTGGGACCTATGTTTGTGAGCTTTTGTAAGTGTGTTATTCAGTTTGGGCCAGTGTCTGTAAGCTGGTTTGTATGTGTAACATTAATGAGGGTTTATGTCTGGGAGCTGATCTAAGTGAGTGACATCAGTGGGTACCAGTGCCTGTACGTGGGTGTAAGTGGGGACAGTGTCTGTGACATGGTGCAAGTGTCATCAGAAGGGGCTAGTGTCCTAACCTGATGTGAGTGATATTAATGGGGCCAGTGTCTGTGACATGATGTGAATGATGTAGGAGGAGCCAGTGTCTGTGACCTTATGTGAGTGACATCAGTGGGAGCCAGTGACTGTGACCTTATGTGAGTGACATCAGTTGGAGCCAGTGTCTGTGACCTGGTTTGAGTGACGTCACTGGATTCGAGTGCAAAATCAAAAGAAATTAGTGCCTTGAGGTGGTCTGAATTTATGGCATCAGTGAGACCGAGTGCCTGTGAGCATTTCGGTGTACGTGAACGACCAAGTGTTCATTAGGAGTTGAGGAGCCAATGCCAGTGAAATTATCTAGTTGTATGATATCTGAAGTGTGGTAACCGAGTGTCTGAATTTTTGTTTGTCAGTGGATGTTTCCGGTGTCAGTTCGGGCTCGGTGTTTATAATATCTGACGAGTGATTTATGTCCTTTGTCTGACTTTAAACTTTTTAGCAGCAAATGATCTTGATATACATTTACAAGAATACCAGTATCCAAATGCAGAAAGTTTGCAGGCCGCATATTTTCATTAATATTGAATTTTTGGACATATCCCTGGAATCCCTGCCTAATGTTACTGTGACCTACATAAATAAAACCTTCTATACATCATATACAGCTTACCTTCCACGGTAACAGAGAAAATACCACATTTTAAACAATCATTTTCTTTGTAAAAATATCGGAGTTCTTGGCATGGTCGTGCCATTCTTCTTTATTACAAGAACAGATACTTCCATGCACAGCTTTTTATTTTGTGTTGTTTGTCCGAAAATGGTCAAAATTTAGCATGATACAATAACTCAGTATGCCTTATGAAATTCACTTTGATTTGCCCTTTATTTATATGAGATGTGACGACAAGTTGGATACTAGATTTTGCGGGTTATACGGCCCACGGCTAAGTTGAAATACCATCAACCTGACAAGAAGATGTTGCAATATTATGCTGTGGTATACATCTATGTTACATTTTACTTGAAGCAGTTTCCTGATTAAACATTAGCGTTTCTTGTCCAGGGCACTGACTTAACATGATAATTTATGTCAAAGTCCGTTGTCTTGGCCACAGCAGCCGACACCGTTTAAATGTTAAATGACCCCGCCCCTTCCCCTTGGCTATTTCAAGAATACACAAAGAAATCTAGTTAAAAACTCTTATCAAATACACTATAATTGATCTTCAGTAATTAGGTCGTAGTTCATTAATCACGAGTTAATTGATAAGAAAGCTGCAACAAGTAAAGCGGTTATTTTGGAAGATCTGAGCGAGATATACAAGGGGAGATAATTCCTCCTATCTTCTGCTACGTATACGTACAGGTATTGCATCTTTACAAGAGCCGCGGGAAATCTCAGGTAAACGCATGCCGCATCATATGACGGGGATTTATTCGTGCGCTATTCCTTGAAGTGTCTATTGATCGAGTCCATTATATGCAAATGACAGCAGCTGTTCCACTGTTCACGCGTACCCAGGTATTATCAGTTTTACACTCGCCATAACGTAAGGTCGCTTTACATCCTATCTGGACTGAAGTTTTACTATATATATAGATGATACTAAGCTCTTCGTTACAATGTTACATGTGATCGATCGCAGGTGTATAACGACAATGGCCTTACCTGGAAAATTTGATGATCGTGGCTCGAGGTCAGGGGTCAGCTTGCGCTCGATAATCAGGCAGTAACGAGCATCATGGCGAAGCACAGGTAAGTGTTTCTCGATTTTTATGGGATTTTATGAACATTTGTAACTGTAGAAAAATTGTCTTTTAACCATGACTTTGAAATGGTATTTTATAATTTACAAAATGGACACGTGCGAGTTGTTGTCTCGCTAATTGGACGTCAACTCGATGACAACAGTGTCCAGTATATATAAGAGTACGCCCTCCACTATAACGTACGTATTGTCTCATGTGTTGATACACAACAATAACAATAGAAAACAGGCTCCTCACGTCCGGTATAACGTGTCTGACTTTTGTTACAAAGTAAATATAAACAATACACCAACAAATGTTATCATTGTAAACTTATCCAAAAATCTCCAGGTCGAATGTGTTGTATTGAAAAATGTTCGACTATAAATATTTTATGTTAATTCTTTCATAATTAAACGCGATACGGGACCTCTCTCTTGCCTCCTTAATCCTACAGGTGCTTGTTGACATGGCTGTGATTTTTTTTAATGTTGGATATGGTCAGGTTTGTTTGTAAAACAAAGTCACATTCATGTTCACAAACACTTGCGTCTAAACCACATTTTCGGTAATCAGGTTTAATATTGTTAATCTACGAGGCAAAGACTGAGGTGTTTTAAATGTAAATCTTGAAAATACTACGTAAACTCCATTTTAATGCCGTCCGAAGGCAAATGAACCTGGTAAATGGTGATCGGATATTTGTAGTATCTGTAAATTGTTAAGATGTATGGGCGAGTATTTGAAGGGGTCTACGTGATATCCTGCCTCGGATGGTCGAGGTATACAGTGATGTATTGTACGAACTGTTGGGAAATTTGATAAAATGGAGAAGTGTTGTTCTTGTGTCGATAGTATTGTGAAGTGTTGTTCTTGTGTCTATTGTATTGTGAAGTGTTGTTCTTGTGTAGATAGTATTGTGAAGTGTTGTTCTTGTGTCTATAGTATTGTGAAGTGTTGTTCTTGTGTCTATAGTATTGTGAAGTGTTGTTCTTGTGTCGATAGTATTGTGACGTGTTCTTGTGTTGATAGTATTGTGAAGTGTTGTTCTTGTGTCTATTGTATGGTGAAGTGTTGTTCTTGTGTTGATAGTATTGAGAAGTGTTGTTCTTGTGTCAATAGTATTGTGAAGTGTTGTTCTTGTGTCTATAGTATTGTGAAGTGTTGTTCTTGTGTTGATAGTATTGAGAAGTGTTGTTCTTGTGTCAATAGTATTGTGAAGTGTTGTTCTTGTGTTGATAGTATTGAGAAGTGTTCTTCTTGTGTCTATTGTATTGTGGAGTGTTGTTCTGGTGTCGACAGTATTGTGAAGTGTTGTTCTTGTGTCTATTGTATTGTGAAGTGTTGTTGTGTCGATAGTATTGTGAAGTGTTGTTCTTGTGTCTATTGTATTGTGAAGTGTTGTTCTGGTGTCGATAGTATTGTGAAGTGTTGTTCTTGTGTTGATAGTATTGTGAAGTGTTGTTCTTGTGTTGATAGTATTTTGAAGTGTTGTTCTTGTGTCGATAGTATTGTGAAGTGTTCTTGTTTCGATAGTATTGTGAAGTGTTGTTCTGGTGTCGACAGTATTGTGAAGTGTTGTTCTGGTGTCAACAGTATTGTGAAGTGTTGTTTCTGTGTTGATAGTATTGTGAAGTGTTGTTCTTGTGTTGATAGTATTGTGAAGTGTTGTTCTTGTGTTGATAGTATTTTGAAGTGTTGTTCTTGTGTCGATAGTATTGTGAAGTGTTCTTGTTTCGATAGTATTGTGAAGTGTTGTTCTTGTGTCGATAGTATTGTGAAGTGTTGTTCTTGTTTCGATAGTATTGAGAAGTGTTGTTCTTGTGTCGATAGTATTGTGAAGTGTTGTTCTTTTGTTGCGGTACGTCCCTTATTTTTCTTAAAGTTTTTGAATTTTCATGGAAAGTGGTGCCCGATTAATTTCTTTTATCATGAATCATTATCCGTTACTGTTGTTTCATCGCTCTATTTATCAGTCTAGGATCTATTCATTATATCGTTACACATGTACACTATTGATCTCTTGATAAATTACGTGCCATCTAATTAATGGGACCAATATGGTCTATGTTGTTGCGTCAGATGCCGTGAACCATGCATAAACTTTTCATATTTGAAAAAAAAAATCTGTCCTGGAGATTTGATAAAATTATTCTGACATGGTTT